TGGTCTCCTTGCTCGGATCCTGTTCTTGCTCAGATATCATCTCGTCCTTGCTCGGTCTCCATGGGTGACAAAACAAATAGCAAAGATTCTCTCTTCTTTGGTTCCACGACGAATATCAAACTGAAGGGTCCTAATTACCTTCAATGGGCTCGAACTGTCCAAGGTGCTTTGAAAGCTCGAGGAAAGTTCTCTTGTCTTAAGTCTACCAAACTGACTGTTGCCAAATTTATTGATGCTTGGGAACAAGAAGATGCCCAAATTATGACTTGTTATGGAATATACTATGGAGCCGGAGGACTTCAACATTCAACAATATCTCTTTCCTTGAAACCTCTAAAGAGATTTGGGATTCCCTGAAGGAGATGTATTCATCTAAGCAAAACATCTCTCGGATTCATCAGCTATATGAGGATCCCTTTTCCACTACACAAGGAGATCGCACAGTTGAAGATTACTACTCCGCCTTGAAAGGTATGTGGGAGGAATTAAATGTGTATCAACCATTAACTATTGATTTGGAGACTCAGAAACGCTATAGGGAACAATTTCGCTTGGAAAAATTTCTTTTAGGACTTCGGCCCGAATTTTTTCCTGTTAGTTCTCAGATTCTCGTTGGTACAATTTTGCCATCTTCTAGTGAGGCCTATAATCGTGTTCGGCATGCCAACCTATCTGCTCCTGAGAAAGCCGATCGCTTTGCCCTTGTAGGTCCCGCTGATAATTCCCATAGTGGTTATGGGGGACATGTTTCGAATAAAGGTTGGAATTTTCAAGGTGGTCACAGTGGCCTCAAGAAATGTACTCATTGTAATCACACCAACCATACCGTTAACAGATGATGGAAACTCCATGGCAAGTCCACATGGGCTAATCATGCTACTGTTGAGGGGGAGATCTCCACTCCTTATTGATGATCATTCTAGTTTGACTTAGTTATATGTTCTTAAAGATTGCTTTCAAGTGTTCGATGCATTTCAATCATTTTATGCTGAAATCACTAATTAGTTTAATGCCAAGTTACACATAATTCGTGATAATGCTCTCGAGTATAAAGTTCATAGCATTCAGCACTTCCTTGAGTCTCGAGGGGTATCACTCATCAAACATCATGTGTTGATACACCTCAACAAAATGGAGTTGCTAAACAAAAGAATGGTCCAATCCTTGCTGTTGCCCGTGCACTCATGCTTCAAATGAATGTGCCTAAACACTTTTGGGGGGATGATGTTCTCACAGCGGTTTACCTTTTAAATAGAATGCTATCTCAGGTTCTTAAAGGGAAATCACCTTTTCAAATGTTCTTACCTGATAAAGATCCTTTCTCTCGCTTCCTCCAAAGGTATTTGGGTGTATTTGCTTTGTCCATAATTTAAGTCCTACACGTGATAAACTTGGCCTTCGTGCACATAAATGTATATTCCATGGTTATTCTCGTGCTCAAAAAGGGTATCGATGCTATAGTCCTACATTAAGAAAATATTTTGTATGTGCTGATGTGACCTTTGAAATAATTCCCTATTACTCTACGGAGGGTCGTCAACTGCTAGAGCCTTTACTCCAAGAGTCTGTTCGACCCGTACCTGTTCTTTCGATCCCTTCATATCCTAATAGGCTCATCCCCTCATATCCTAAGGTTTATGTTTGTAAACGTCCACGGTCTTCTCATCACCTTACAGCACCAGTAGCACCATCCTCAAATCCTCCATTGCTCTCCTCGGCACCTGCAGATCATACGCCTCCATCTAGTCCCGACATTCTCATTGCCATTCGGAAAGGTAAAAGGTCTTGTACTAAGCACCCTATCTCTAATTTTGTATCTTATGATCATTTGTCTCCTTCATTTAAGGCTTTCACAATATCTTTATCTTCTGTCACTGTTCCTAAGTCATATAAAGAGGCCCTTTCCCATCCTAGTTGGCGAAAAACAAAGGAGGACGAAATGCATGCTTTGCACTTGAATAATACTTGGACGCTTGTTCCTAAGCCAGAAGGTGCACACATTGTTTGTTGCCATTGGATTTTCACAGTGAACCAAAATCCAGATGGTACTGTTGATAGATTAAAGGCTCGTTTTGTTGCTAAGGGCTTCACTCAAGCCTATGGTCTTGATTACGCTGAAACTTTTTCTCCCATGGCCAAGCTAAACTCATTTCGTATTATTATCTCTCTTGCTGCAAATCTTGATTGGCCCCTTCATCAACTTGATGTTAAGAATGCCTTCTTGCATGGATATTTGAATGAGACAGTGTACATGGCTCAACCACCTGGGTTTGAGTCCAAGAGGGATTGTGTTTGTCATCTCCAGTTGTCTATTTATGGACTCAAACAGTCTCCTCGAGCATGGTTTGACAAATTCAGCAAAGTTGTGATTACTCATGGAATGACTAGAAGTCAAGTTGATCACTCACTGTTCTTTAAGAAAACAGAGCATGGTATTGTGATCTTGGTCTTCTATGTGGATAACATTGTGATTACTGGAAGTGACAATAAGGGAATTCAAACTCTGATTGGTCGGTTCAAACTTTCTTGCTAAAGACTTGGGCAAGCTTCGTTATTTTCTTGGTGTTGAGGTTGCAACATCAGACATCAATTTCTGATTAGCCTCCATAGGTGTAGCAACAGGTTTAGCTCCAAGATGACCGGTATCTCTCAAAATATCAAGAAGATAGTTCCGTTGAGACAAATAAATGCCTCTCTTTGATTTCAAACTTTCTTGCTAAAGACTTGGGCAAGCTTCGTTATTTTCTTGGTGTTGAGGTTGCAAGATCAAAGAGAGGCATTTATTTGTCTCAACGGAAATATGTTCTTGATATTTTGAGAGATACCGGTCATCTTGGAGCTAAACCTGTTGCTACACCTATGGAGGCTAATCAGAAATTGATGTCTGATGTTGGTGGCCTAGTTGATCCTGAGATGTATAGAAGACTAGTAGGTAAGCTGATTTACCTGATTATCACTCGACCAGATAATTCATATGCAATCAGTGTGGTGAGTCAATTCATGACCAAACCACAGGTACCTCACATGAATGCAGTTATACACATTCTAAAGTACCTCAAAGGTGCTCCAGGCCGTGGTCTTGTCTACCAATCTTCAGGACATGTTCGCATTGAAGGGTATACTGATGGAGACTGGGCAGGTTCTCCTAAGGTGGAAGATCAGCTACAGGCTATTGTACTTTTATAGGGGGGTAATCTTGTGACTTTGAGAAGTAAGAAGCAATCAGTTGTTTATCGATCTATTGCTGAGCTGAATACTGTGCAACGGCTCCCACAACTTGTGAGCTAACTTGGTTGAGAAGCCTTCTATAAGAGTTCGGAATCTCAGTACAAGACCCAACTGCTCACTACTGTGATAATCAGTCTGCCATTCATATTGCTAGCAATCCAGTTTTTCATGAACGGACGAAACACATTGAAGGGGATTGTCATTTCATTCGTTCTAAGGTGGCTTCAAATGCGATTGTGACTCCTTTTGTTCCCTCTTGCAATCAGCTAGCTGACATCTTTATTAAAGCTCTTCCAAAAAATGCATTCGACTCCATTTGCAGCAAGTTGGGAGTTATCGATATCTACTCTCCAACTTGAGGGGGAGTGTCGTGAATATAGGTTGTTTACAACATGTCATTAGTTGATATAGTTGACTATTCTGATCCATATAATCTGCTGGGTTGATTATAGGAATATTCTGATGCTGCTAGCTTGATTACAGGAATCGATATTTGATTAGCTTAATTTCTGGTAATTGGCTAAATGATTGTACTGATTGTCTTCCTTTGGTTCCTATATAAACTCACATGTACTCACACTATGTAAGATACAAGAATTCTTCTCTTCTACTTTCTAGCTTTTTTTTTTTTTTTTCCAACAGTTTAAACATGTGTCAATCACGACAAACCAATCATTTCAGGGCTCACATGCCAATCTACTCCTCTCAAATCAGTTCAAGACTCAGAATGGCAACTTTCTTTTCCAAAGAAGCTCTTTTTAATTGAACTTCAATTTTCAAAGTCAAAAACACTTTTTCAACTCGATTTAGGCTCGTATGCCAACTCTGTTTGAAAACAATTTTCGTAGCGGAAGTAAAAAATCTTCAATTGTTTTTGTGAATCAATTAAGAGAAATAAGAAAAACAACCTTAGGACACACTAAGAAATTGAGGCTTTAGTGAAAATGTCGCAGAAGATTGGGTTTCTCGCAACGGTGTTGAGTTAACTTCCCAAATAACCCAAATCTTATACTTGCGAAACAAATCTGAAGGGAACATTTCTCAAGGTGTTTTTGTGACGGTATGTAGACCTTTCGCGACAGCAATGCTGATTCTTTTTCCCCTCGTTTTGTGTGAAAGTACAAGTGTCATGAATGTACGAGTAAAGCCCCGTTTTTTAGTGTTTTGTGATGGCTTCCTTATCCGTCCCAAATAATTAAAATAAAATTAAAAAAAAAAAAATGCCATTTTGATTTCCTATATAACCCCACGATCTCCATCAGCCCTCTTTCTTGCTCCATTTTCCTTCTCTCATTCAAGTGTTGCAGGCCATATATCTACCTCTTGCTCTCTCAATCTCGACCCAAGGAGCACTAAAACCCTAATCAATCGACCTAAGGAACATCCTCACTCTCGTCTTGCTCTCGTCTACCTGTTGCTTCGACCATTTTGGTCGATTTCTCACTTACAGAAGCCGAAGTCACAACGAGCTCTCTCACTCCCAGCCTGCTCTCGGTCAGCCTCCAGGTGAAGTCACAACAAGCTCTCTCACTCTCAGCTTGCTCTTGGTCAGTCTCCAGGTGAAGTCACAACGAGCTCTCTCTCTCTCTCTCATTCTGTTTCTTTCTCCTTTATAATGAGACTTTGATTTTGTGTTTAATTTGGTGTTCAAGGCTGTTTGTCTGACTTTGGTGTTCATAGCTGTTTGTCTGACTTTGGTGTTCAAGGTTGTTTGTCTGACTTTGGTGTTCATGGCTGCTTGTCTGACTTTGATTTTTGTGTTCATCGATTAGGATCTCTTTGCTGGTCACCGGCTCTGGTTGCAGTCCCTCACTGTCTGAGGTTCGCTTCTCTCTCTCTCTCTCTATGAACTTGTTTAATATATTTGTATTTTTAATGTGTGTATGTACATAGGTAAATATAAATTCTGAGATGTATATTTGCTGATATTCTATTTTATTTCTGATTGTCGTAATAATGTAATTTTCTCTGCTAAGTTTATTTTGCCAAATCCTATGTGTGTGTGTGTGTGTTTTTCTTGCTGATTGAAAAAAAAAAAAAAAAAAAAAAAAAAAATTGGTATCTCTCTGTCTCTTGATTTATTTATTTGTTTTTGTTTATAAAAGAATGTTAATTTTTTGGTTCTTGGGGCTCTATTTAGATGCGTATTGTAGTGTTAGCCTTCTAGTTGCTATTGTTGGATAATATTACCAAAAGTACATTTATACAGCAGTTTGGGGGACAATTTTTTTTTTGATAAATAGTTTGGGGGACAATTTTGTCTTTTGATTATTAAAAAAGTCATCAAAATAAAGCAACACACACCTACAATATATATATATATATATATAGATAGATAGATATCTGGTCTAATTCATAACCACTAGTTTTAATTACAAGGTCCAGCTACAGGCCTCGAGTTTTGACTGCTAACTCCAAAGCATGTCGTCTTCTATGTTACAATTTGATCAGTTGATTGTGCTAGTTATAATTTTCTATATATTTTTTATAAAAGAATACTGGTCTTTTAAAATAGAAATAAAGTAGCCCTTAATCTTTATAATAGGTGCCTAAACCGATCCTGATTGTGGTTTTGATAGTTTTATGAAAAGTTTGTCCTTATTTTCTAAAAACTTTTGCATTCAATGCATAGTTTCGAAATTTTGATAATTCTGTGTTTTTTAATTATTTTGATCACCTCCTTTTATAGCTCTTGCTTCTTTTTGTAAGAGACCCATTTATTTCTTCACTTGAATCAGGGCTGTTCTGGTAATGCATAGCTGTAAGATATCCAACATTGATTCTCTCTCTCTCTCTCTTTCATTTTTTTGTTTTATGTATTCTCTATTTAACATTAGATCGCATACCTATTGAATTCCAATGCAAAAAGTAAAACATATAGATACTTGCAGCAGGCTTTGGTTTTTTAAGTACATATGGCAGATTTTATTATTTTTTTGGATAAGTAAGATATTTATAAAAGGCACTCAAAAGGGGAGCGCTCCCAAAGAAGACAACAGCTGACCAAAATCAACACTATAGCTTTAAGATATCCACAAAATCCAAAATACAATCCATTGAATTACAATCCCGCCCATTTACCCAAAAGAATAAAGAAGTAAGAATATTGTATTTAATAGCCCAAATGGGAGACTCCTTTATTTCTTTCGCGCCAGAGACCCCACCAAATGCAAAGGGCAGTGGCCCCCCAAGCATCTCTGACTCGGCTCTCCACTGTACACCCTTTCCACGTCTCTAACAAGCCGACCATGGATTTTGAGAACACCCATGGAAGACCAAACACAACCAAAAACATAGACCAGACATCCCTAGCCACCGAGCAATGAATAAGGAGATGGTTGACAGATTCCACCATCTTCTTGTTTTCTATATTCAACTGAGTAGGGGTTTATGCGATGCACTTTCACCTACCCAATGATGGATCTAAATGGTTTTGCCACTGTAATGGACTCCTCTACCCGGCCTTAATTTGTTCACATAATTCATGATTTCTCATTCTTTATATTCTACATTCTAAATGTTAATCATAAACATTCTTTGAGGAAATTATCTTCATGGCTAATACATATATTGATCTATAAAAGTGAATATCGATTATAATTGAGCTCCCAATTGAATATATGTCTAATACATATATTGATCTATAATTATGCAAACTCGTTTCATTATAATTGAGCTCCCAATTGGAGTCCGATGGGTTCATTCTGGTTAGTAGGTTGGGTCAGAAGCTGCCAACTCAAGGTATAATTTAAAAGTGAATGCTTTTAGAAGTTTAATAGGCCAGTCCCGTTTTTGCCTCCAGACAGGAAGGCCCATACTTTAGATTTCTTTGGGGTTGCTTCTCCGGAAAAGGTATGATATTATTTAGGCATCAAGATCATCAACACCATGACAAAAAAAAAAAAAAAAAGTGTCCACTGGGATTATCATATATAACTGTCTTTACATTTTTTATTTTCGGGTATAAAGCTTACTGAATCATATTTGTATGTGTCTGTTTGTGTATAGCATATGTAAGCACAATTTTACCCAAATTTGCAACCATTTTAAAAACATTAGCTCTGATTAAACTAAATATTTGACATGGATTTAGAACCAAATGTAGTATCATATGGCTTTTGTTTTCTATGCCACTGCAAAAACAATATGTTGATCTTTTTGTAAAACAATCTGTTGGAAGATGGTAGTCGTGACAGCTACTGTTAGCCATATTTAGCTCCTTTATTTTAGGGATTTATTTATCATGATTACTGTATGTTATGGATTTGATTATTATGAATTCTGTAAGTTAGGAGCATATTAGGGGGCAGATTAGGAGCAGATTGTAGGGATTTGTCTGACTTTCTTTCCTCGTATAATTTTCTCTCTTCCTTATATGTACTTGTACAAGATGTAAACATATTAAGGAGATGAAATACACAGAATTTTTCTCTCTGAAATTCAACACAATCTTCCTCAACTGATGTACTTTGATCTTGAATTATGCTTGGTCTGAGTATGTACCAAAAGTTTTCATAGCCCACCATGGGTGAGTTATCGTTATCACTTGATCACAATTTTTAATGGTAGATAATCCACACGAATTGGTTTTAAGTTGGAATTTCATGGAGGATTGTTTGGATGAAATCCATAAATAAGTAACGTATGTGCAAGTTAGACTGCTTAATCACTTCTACTGCAATATTGCTTATATTAATTATTTCTTTCTTTCTTTCTTTTTAAGAGATTGCAATCTTACATCATTCTCCAAATATATATATATATATAAATTTTTTTTTTCTATTAAGTATCATTTCAAAAGTTTTAGTAGCTATATATGCGAAAAATTCTTTATCTTCAAGGAAAATACAACCATACGGTTTTCGTTTTCTCCTGTAATCTGAAGTAATTAATCCAAATGACTGCTCACATTCTGTATTTTTTTTGTTAATTTTAATATATATTTTTACTGGCTTAATTAGTTGTTGCATATTTTCTTTGCTTCTAATTTTTGTCTGACTTTTTGGAGCATTGATGTTCATGATATTGAGATAGGAATTTCTGGTTTGCTCTCAGAAATATAACATGTTAGTACAATGGTACTTGAATTGTGGACTAAAGTGATTTTCTGCTTTCCGTGTCTTTGTTTTGTTCTTTTCTTCAGTAGTAATGTAAATCTTTACACCTAAAGCATACATGATTTCTTTATATAATGTTCTCTGTTTTTTTGTTCATTACATATGGTACAATGGTCCTTAGTTGTACCATATATAGTAAGGACATTTACCACTGAAGTGATTCGTAAGTGTGACTCGTACTTCTAGTGTATATATATTAGCTTAATTCTATTTCATACTCAAATCTAAATTGTTGAACTCAACGAATATCTAGAATATAAATTTAACTTTATGTTATTTTGTATCACATAATTTTATGTTATAGTCTAATGACATGCTTTCATACATTTATGCATGCATCTAACCTTAGGACCCGCTGGGGAATCGTTGTTGAGAACATGTATAAATCATTGTATATGTTGGACAATTTGATTTTGGCATTGCTAATTGGTTCCCTCCAGAGATCAATTACTACCATCTTTTTTTTTTTTTTTTTTTTGGGTCTATCTGCAATGTAAAGAGCATGTTAGTACAATGGTACTTGAATTGTCTGTATGGGAAGTTTGAGAATGCATTGACATATTCGTTATAGTAATTAGCTAACCACTTGCATATATTTCATTTCTAGTTAACTAACGACTCAATGATTTACCAGAATTTTTCTAATCAGCTATAGCTACCGCAGCTGCTGAAGCAGCTATTGGACTGGCTGTTGTTTCATTTCAATAGCTTCTCCTTATGTTCTCTAGATACATACTCCATTTAGACTTAGTTTCATACACTATTGGTGACATCAGTGTGTGGCACTCGTGTATCTGGAGAACAAAGGGGAGATGCTGTCACAATTTACCCAGAAATGAAATATATGGTAGTGTAGCTATTGACGGTAATTTGGATTCTGCATTTTTTGAATGGGATTTGACCACCACCCATTATGGAGGAAGTTGAAAGAGTTATGCATACATAGTCAACGTGCATCAATTGACTTGTATCTATAATTTTTTTTTTTTTTTTGGAACCAGTTACATGGATAAGTCTTGGATTCATCATCAGATTAGGGCTAGTCGAGAGTATTATAAGGCGTAAAAGACTTCATTCAGTTGGCTAAAAGACATAAGACAGGCTGAGCTTGTGTCATCAGTGCAAAATACCGTGTATAGGCCAATTGAAGAGGTTGAGAATCCTCCTCTTTAGGCATGGGATGCACAGGGAGTATACTAATTGGATATGGCATGGGGAGGCTCATGAAACAGTGGTAATGTTAATACCGAACCTAATGTTAGTGGGGATAATGCTGATGATGAAGATAGAAATGAAGATAGTGTATTTGAACTATTGAATAAAGTACGGATGGGAACGTTCACTAATGCAGAAGATCAAGAAGGTGCACCTGAAGTTAATGTGGGAGGAGGAAGTTTTGACAGATTCTTTTTAATAGCTGGATTAAATTTTACCATCTGGACAACCAAATGGCCATACATTTTCCGACTTCATATCACCAGAAGACAGCTAGAAGCTGTCAAAAAGAAAGAGGAACCTGCCTTACAATAGGCATAAAAACACAAGTTTCTTGAATTTGAAAGGCCAGGGTTGCTCATTTGGTGATTGGGTCACACAAGTGAAGATCCAATCGTCTTTACTTCTCTGGATTTGTCGTTAATAAAAAGCAGCTTTGAATGCAAATACAGATCAAAATATCTTCACAACTTCAGGATAGAAAAGTTATTGGCAGCATAGCTGCTTTTTTATCATTCCTAAATTTAGACTACATGGCAATATTATACTCATATGGCTTGAGAAGAAGGGAATGCTTCCATAGAACATGGTTAACACAGCTCTCCAGTGCTGTTGTTGAGGTCAACCCTAACTGGAAATTTGAACTCCATTTAGGATCACTTTTATCACTTAGCTCTTGTCATTGTCCACATTTCAATTGCTAGCCCAGTCTATGAATGGTATGGTGTGTTCCACATTTCCAGATAGCGAGTGCTCGACTATCACCATGATCTAACTTCCCAACCGTCAAAAGCATCATAACTTTATTTTCCCTTGGTTTAGAAATTCCTTGACTGAACAATCTTAAAAATTCAATGTCATGGTACTCTTTTGTTACCCAGAAAGTGATGACAAAATGGTCTAATTCTGCTCATTGGAAATTTACTTCCTACCTTACAATCATTCAAAAACTAAGTGAAACCTCACGACTCAAAAACCTCCACCACTCCTTGTCCATTCTTAATTCTTGTAGCATTAGACCGCTACCATCCAAATCCTTATTGCAAGTCTTGTACTAAGTAGGAATCACACTTTCCTGTAGGTGAAAGCAGATTTGTACAGTTTGTGTTTATAGACATGTTTGCTGCTTCTAAGAACAAGTGACTGAAGGAAAACCTTATACGTGGACTGCCAATGCCCATACACTAATTTATTTCAATGCCATCAATGGTGTTTTCTTTTGCATAATTCTTCTGAGTTTTCTTTACCTTGTATATCCGTCTATATATGTATATTGATGGTATATCCACTACAACAAAAGGTGTTCTTACCTAGGGAATATTTGCTACAGAATCAATTAATTTGCTACATGAAGTTTATTCCGTTACCTCTACTAGGGACTGTTTACTATGGAAATGCTAAGGTATTTACTACGGAAATTATCTTCCGTTACCTTTACTCTAAATTTCTCCTGATATTATATTATTATAGGGTGAAGTGCACAAAACACCCCTAATGTATACTCTGCGTTGCACTTTCACCCCCTATTTTAAAAAGTGTGCTTAGAAGTTACAATCCCCTTAATCTTTAAACATGGAGCTGAAACACCGCTTCAATTACTTTTTGATATTATAATACCCATTTTGCCGTTTTACTATTCCGAAATTGCCCAAAAGGGTTTTGTGTAGATATTATTTTCTTGGTGGGTTGGCCCACTTCAAATGGGTTAGATCCAAATCAAAGCGGGCTCACCCGTATGCAACCACACCTGATCCCAGCAAGCTGGGACCATGTGGGACAGTGGGTGCAACCACATTAGATCCCAGTCCCTGCTGGATCTGTTTTGGCAAACCTGAGCGCTTAAGGCTCTGTCCGGCAACCCACAGTTGCCTGCCTTTGGTCTGGCGGGGTCACCGCCGTCCGGCGATGGCCTGGTGGCCAGCGGTGACCCTTCTCTCTCTTCCTTTTGCTCCATTATTTATTTATATTTTAAAAAAAATTCTTCAGTCCCCACCTTACCTCAAAACTCCATTAATAAACCTTGAAGGAATCACCGGCGAAGTCCAAATTCTACAAATTGCTATCATCAACAGATGCATTCAATCGAAGCTTGGACTCTTTGATGGCCGATTGCACATGGGACTGTTCTGTCAGTTATTAACCACAAGCAGCTTCTGGGTTTTGCTTCCAACAACTCTATTTGCATCAAAAAGGTCTCTCTCTCTCTCTCTCACCAACAGAGCGCACACCTGCAATTCCGACCCATCCAAACAGTCTAAATTGTACGGACGCAACAACAATAAAGCAATCAATACTCAATTTCATTCAACAAAGAGCTGTTTGTTTCCTCCATTAGAGCTTTTCTTGGTCTCTTGAAAAAAATCCGCAATCACCATCATCAACCCATATCACCGTCGATTACCATTAACCCAGACTCTGTCTTCGCAAACCCATCTGCAATCACCATAAAGCAGTTTGGTACTGCTTAAACAGCCTTCTATCAGTCACTGTCGTCAATGCCTCTCTTAGAGAGAGAAAGGGGGGAGAGAAGGAGACCCAGTTGAAAAAAAAAAAAAAAAAAAAAAGAAGAGCGAAAAAAGAAAAGATAAAAAGGGCTAAAGTCAGCAGGTAGCAGGCTGCTGACACGTGGCCTACAGTGAGTGCTCCTAAATGCTTAAACGATGTCACTACGTTTTATGTCCTTTTATGTCATTTTACAACCTGATATATTTTTAAATAACTTGTAAAATATCTTTAAAAGGGAAATTTAGGCAACTTCTAACTTAAATGTGTCAGGTAAGACCTATTTGCACAAATTTGATACATTAGGGGTGTTTTCCGTACATAAGGGTGTGATACACACTAAACGCATGCTATAGGGGTGTTATATTTTGGACGGAAATAATTCTGGACAGTTATTAATGAAGGGTTTTTGATTAATGTTATATATTTTGGACATTGAGCTTCTTTAGCAATATTTGTGAAGTAAATGTATATAGGACCAAATGACATGAAAGAGGTTTGGTGGTGACTGCAGAAGGATAGTACTCATAACCATTGCACACTTTATTCTTGTTGTAAGTGACAGCTTCAATCTCCTTCCCACCAACAAGCGGGTACGCATTTCTTGCCATGAGTGTGTGCGCGTGTCAGAGAGAGAGAGAAGAAACTCAGGAGTAGCTAATTTCTTACTGGACAGGGAAGAGTCAAGTATGTAGAGAGTTGTGAAAGAATGCTAGTAACGTCAGATATTACATGTACCGCTACTGTAGATGTTACATGTACCACAGATAAATTTTTTACTGTCTTCAGTTCAAGTTTTTTTAGTTCATTTCTCAAAATTTATCTGCATTGTTAATTGTAGCGAAAAATGATTTCGTTGTCACAAGTAGCTCCTTCAGAGGGAGGCCCGAGTGACGGAAATGAAGCTTTTGGATGTGTACTTGGTGAGAATGATGCCTATGAACTTGGGCGTTGTAACTGTGCCCATTGTGCCAAGATGGCAGCGGCTATCAAAAGAGCTGATGATGCTGAAGAAAGGGGTCGAAAACTTGAAAAGATGCTTTTGGTGGCAACACAAAAATTTAAGGAGGCGGAAGAATTTCGGAACAACATGGAGCAGCAGATGCAAGCATTTTCCTCTTCTGTGGCTGCTGGACAATCTCTCGATCTTGTGGAAGAATTTCGGAACAGCATGAATCAACAGATTCAAGCATTTTCCTCTTACATGGCTAAAACATTTCCTAATTTCGATGAAAAGTGATTGTAAGATGGTGGTTCTTTGGCTTAACAACGACTAAATTTTTTTTTTTTTTTTTTTTCCTAGTTGGTACTCATACACACATGCCTTCACTGAGACTTAAACTCCTGACCTCTCTTTGAGAAGTAGGAGCTTGGTACCGCTAGGCCACTGGCCTGTTAGTGACAATGATTAAACTCTCGTTAGAAAGCATCTTATTTTTTGTGGTTCTTTGGTATATGCTCAGTAATTGCTTTGGCAGTTCCTTGGCTTGACAATGGTAGACTGTTAGAAAGCATCCTATTTTTTGTGTTTTTTGGAATATGTATGCTCAGTAATAGTGTTGGTGGTTTTTTGGTATATTCAGTGCTGATGTTAATTTGTATCTACAATGATAGGTTACAAACATTGTAGGAATTGATTTTATATAGGTAGGATAGATTGTGGTTATGTTGACAATTATGAACCCTACTTGTAATAACATGTATAGGCATATATATATATATATATGATAGTAAGACACTAATGTTATTTTATAACTCAATTTATCTTTTAATGTTGAATGGATTAAGCGCTTTTCCAATGATAGTATGACACTAATGCTATTTGATAACTCAATTTATTTTTTAATGTTGAATGGATTAAGTGCTTATTCAAAAAATAGTTAGCACTACTTACTGAATGGCGTTGAAAATTAAAAAATATTTATTTTTTAATTCACTTTAAAACCTCAAGCTTTTAAAATATTCAGTATCAAATTTTATCAAACAACATAAGTAGGTGGCGATTCCTGTTCATGGGTCATGGTCTTGATTGTATTCGTGTTTAGACACAAGTATCACATTAAATGGGTTAACACAATCCACAAGTATCACGTTAAATGGGTTAACACAATCACGATACAATTAATATTCGTGTTAAACATGTTCCACAAGAACACAATTCATTTATTAAATGGGTAACACGACACGACCTATGTAACCAGTTTGACAAGTGGGTCGTGTTAGGTTGAATACGACACGACCTGTTTATTATATAATCAGATTGGATTTGACACGACCCGGCACGACTTGATTACAATTTAACTATTTGGGTAATTTTCATTTTTAACCTATTTATGACATGTTTAATACATTTTAAACTATCCTATTTAATTTATTAAAGATGTTAAGAATTGATCAATGCCTTTAATCAATTAAAATATAAGATTAAAAAAAAAAAAAAATTATACCTTGAGGAACAAAAGTTAAGAAAAAAATATTAAAAACAAACATTAAGTCCAATAGTCCATCCACTAGTTTGTTACTTTACTTGAGTATTTTAAGTACTTAAAATACTTTGTATTTTTTTACAAAGCAACCTGATTTTTTTATTAAAAGAAAGAAGAAGATTAAAACCAGTATCAAAGAGATCAAAATACAGTCATATTAACCGCCAAAGTAGAGCAGTTCAATATGTTAGCAACAGGAATTAATAAATAAAAGGACTTGAATCAGCAGCAGTGACAACCATTGCAACAACATTGTATAAAAATGTGTTTTTGGGGGGTTTTTAGGTCACAAGCCCAAAAGTTTGTCTGATAAAAGGCTAGAACCAGTACTAAACCCAAACCCAAACCCAAACCCAAAAAAAAACATACAACCAAAACTGACCCAAAGCATATACACCAAACCAAACAGACATCTTCTTGTATCATATTTAACAAATGTATTATTATTGCTCACAAAGTCCTACATGGTTTAATTTTAGCAATATTTTGTAGGTTCAGACTTTTATTTGTCAGCTTTTGGTCACTTTGAAATTTTTAAACACTCTGATCATAAGTTCTACTTGTTCTTGGGCCAAATTTCCTTTGTGCACGAAAAGGTTTGAAAATTAAATGACTCCAGGACCATACATCACATGGCCAATCACATCAATTTAAACGTATTTTGTCAACTGCTACAGATGGGAAAATGTCAACCTTTTTTTTTTTGGTTTTTTATCAAGGTCTTAAATATCAAAAAGGTCATTGCATGCCAGGAGGGACAACCTAACTTTCAGAATTCACACTTTAATCACCATGAAAATAGAACTAGGTAAGGTTGTGGAATATCAGGAATTTTAAGAGCATATCAATGTTCTGCTCACCAACAGCTGGAAATAGTGCAATTTATTATTTAGGGTTTGTTTAGCAATCGCTTTTGTTTTGTGTTTTTACATTGACCCAAAGTAAAAATAATATTTTTGCTTTAAAATTTATTCAACACTGTTTCGAAACTTGTTTGGTAACGTAAATTTGTTACAAGATTCTTAGGAGTAAAAATATGAAAGCGGATTCGGTAAAAAGTTTTGCAAGTTTGAAAATTTAAATGACTAGTTAAAAATTACATTTTAGATTTTTTTTTCTTTTTTTTTTTTAACAGTGCTTTTGCTACAGTTAAAAAGCAACAAAAATCATCATTCTTATACTTTCGATTTTGATCTATTTTTCGAAAACACTTCTGTACTATTCAAAAATACAACAACAACAACAACAACAACAACAACGAGACAAGCGCATTAGCCGAGCAGGCCTCAGTTTTCTTCTGGTGCTTGTCCATCAAGATGAAATAATTAGTAAGAAGAATTCTACTTCAGAACTATGTTTATGTTTCTCAGAAACACCCACATATCAGGAGCTATTTTGAAATCTGTAGTAAGTAGAGTGTGGGTATTAATAACGCTCAATAGAGCCTTTCTAACAGACTTGTAATGGAAATTGTCCAAATTTCTCTATAAATTATTAACAGCTTATTTTATTTTATTTTTATTTTTTTTCTAAAATCAATCACTTGTTAGGCTACTAGCCACCTTGGACTCTCCGTAGTTTGCACAATAGAAATTTATTTTTTTATTTGAATTTTTCAAATTTCCATATGCCATCAATTCTCGATAGTCTCTTGAAGATATTTTGTTGAGATAGAAAAACAATTAAGAGAAAACAATCACACAAGAAACACGCTATCTATGTAGTTAGGCAAAGTTTTTGCCTACGTTTACAGAGAGCACACCAAAAATTTTACCATCAACAATGAGTGTTTACAAAGAAGAGCTCTCCCAAAATCCTAACAAATTCGGTTGCATCTAGAATCATCAATCACAACATATTGAAAAAAAGAAAAAGATAAAGGGGGGGACTTAAATACAAAGGGCATCCAAGGGTATAAAAGACAATCTCCCAAAAAAAAAAAAAAAATCTCCGTGTGACGCTACCCCCTAATCCTGCGAACTAACCATGCAACTCGACCCTATGAGCTCATTGACCGAGATTCACAAAATGACAACATAAACTAAGTTTGTGATTCAGGTTCCACAAACCTCAACAGTTTCAAGATGAATTCATTTTTTTGAAAGTAAGATCCATCTTATAATTATTGGCAACTTTTCTCAGGTTACATGTTCACTACTTCTGCATCTCTTTTTAGTCTTAGTTATGAAATTTTACATTTTAATGACCTCTATTTACTAGGTGCTTTGCATACTCATTGAACAACTGAATTTTTTTATGAAAGCTCATGACAGTCGCTCAATGCATGTCAACTTGTATCATATGAACAATGCATAGGTGGCAAAGTCAACATATATGGTTTAATATTAGCAAAATTTTCCAAGTTCAAACTTTTTGTGTCAGCTTTAATTAATTCAGTTTGAAATTTTCAAAAACCTTGATCATACTACTACTTGTTCTTAGTCCAAATTCCTGCATCCAGAAATAGTTTGAAAAATAAATGGGAAAGTGTATTAAGTCAACTGCTATAAGTGGAAAATTGTCCAACTTTTAATTATAAAAGTCATAATTATATATATATATATATATATATATATATATATATATATATCGGTAATTTCTTCATTTAATGGGGACATGCATTCAGTAGCAGGTTTTACTTTGGTGAAAATTTGTATCAAGGCAAGTGTGGGAATTATAGGCCTTCTATTCTAGGTATTTTATTGAGTAGGTTTTAGGTTACAGGTTTTAGGGTAATTCAAGGAGTACAAACGAATAATTGGTTTGGCTTAGACATAGAATCAAAACCAATCCAATAGCGATGATTTTATGAAAAAGCAAAATCATGCTCAACCAATAAGAGTTTTTAAACCAAACAAATCCAAACCATTCAAGAACACATTACATCGAATTGGTTCTACGAATTAAGCTTTTTTTAAATAGCCTAATTTTATTTTTTTTTTCTTTATTTTTTTTTTTTTACACAACCCAATGGTGATAATCACAATTGGCAACTATTTCTAAACACCAGCAACCCAATTATAAATCATCGAGATCCTAATTATAACTATCAACAACCCAACCCAATTGCAAGTAAATACAGTAGACCAGTTATAAAATCTAAGCGTAAATTTATTAGAATGGTTAATCCATGAGTTCAAATTGAATTGAATTTTTTTTCTCCTTTGTTGCATTTGATATGCAAGAATGGAATGAAATTGAGAATGAAAATGGAATGGAATGGTCATTTTCATTCTATTGTTTGGTTACAAATATGAAATGTGTAGGAATGAAATGATAATAGACAGTATTTGGTTGGACCAATTTAAAATTTAGAATGGAATGAATTTCAAATTAAATTCTCGAAAATACCCCTTTTAGTGACAAATAAAATAAATTAACAAAATAACATTTATCTATAATTTTTTAAAAAAAGAAAAGTCGACGGTGGTAGATGGCGGTGATGATGGTTGTGGAGGTGGAAACCGGTAGCGGTGTAGGTGGTGGTGTTGGAAAGCGGTAACGAAAGGTGGTGGTGACGGTGGTGGAGGCAGTGGTAATGGTGGAAGGCATCAATGGTATAGGTGATAATGGTGAAAGATAGTGGCGGTGGTGGTGACAGTGACGATGGAGGTGGCAGCGACTGTGGTGGCGGTGGCAGTAGTGGTGGTAGAAGGCAACAATGGTGGTGATGGAAGACAACAGTAGTGGTGATGGAAGGTGGCGATAGTGGTAGTAATGGTGACAGTGGTGGTGGCAATAATGATAGTGGAAGGCATTGGAGGTGGTGGTGGTCGATGGTGATAGTAGTGGAAGGCGGTGATGGTGGTAGCAACGATGGAAGTGGCGGTAGTGGAAGGCAATGGAGACGGCAGCGATGGAGACGGCAGCGATGGAGACGGCAGCGATGGTGGCGGCGGCGGCGGCGGCGGCGGCGGCGGCAATGATGGAAGGAAGTGGTGGTGGTGGTTTTTGGACGTTAAACATAAGGGATTTTAAGGAATTTGATTTTTAAAAAATATATATACTTGGGAATGGAATGACCATTCTATAAGTTTAGTTGTGGAATAAATTTTCATTCCTATGAATAGATTTTAATTCCAATGGAATG